TACAGCCCGAGATTTGAATTTTGAATTTATAATTTTGTGCCATTAAATATTTTTATCATAAATATAACCTTGCAATTGATGAGATTTGAACTTAAGTCACCCAAACACAACCCAAATAAATAATAGTATATTTATGTTTAACTAAAAATTAAAAATAATAATCTTCAAAATCAATGTTTATAAACATTAGCAGAATGGATAAATCTATCAAATGTCATATTTATGTATCTTATAAATTCTAATAGATTAGATATATTTTTAAATTAAAATTAAATATTTTTTCCTTGGGGAAAATCCATGCTATCGGAAAGACATGATACTGGAAGAGCTTTGACCAATCAAACCCTCCCATGAATTTTGATAAATATCATCTGATTGAATACCAGTTTTATGATATTGGTTGATTGGTGATTTGGTTTTAGGTTTCTTTTTTTCGGTATCATAGAACAATCCAATAAGACAGTGGATTGGACCAGTCCAATCCGGTCTAAGTTGAACAGTCCAATAAGACAATGGATTGGACTAGTCCAATCCGGTCCAAGTTGAACAGTCTGGTAAGACAGTGGATTGGACTAGTCCAATCCGGTCCAGGTTGATTAGTCCAATAAGACAATAGATTGGACCAATCCAATCCGGTCCAGTTTACTAGGCAATATCATCCTCATCGCAGCACTCGTTATCTTCATCATCACTGTCATCAGTATCTTCATAATCTGCACCACACTAATCCACCTACTTTATATTTTAACCTTAGGTACTCATTAAACTATGAGCCCTTTAATCATCTCTTGCAACTTCAACCTGTCACAGTGTCACTTACTAACATTCCCAAGATTCAGAATTGTTTGTCTATGCTTTGCTACCAACAAACAATGACATTCCCTTTATTTACTCTTGTATTAAATATGCTATATATAGAGAGATATATATTACAAACCCAAGAAAGAAAACAATGAGATTTATTGGATTGGTAATTAGGATGCTCAACACTCTTTATTTTTTTTTTTACAATTACATTTGATAGGTAACTTAAAAATTAAGTTCAATTGAAAAAAAAAATCAGACATACAAAAACAGTTTGGTGAGCCTCATTTAATAAAGCATGAGAAAAAAAGTGCTTTTGTGAGAAGTGGATATTAAACATGCATGGTTGTGAAATTGGGACATCATTTATTGATTTAGAGGAGGCAACCGAATTGAAAGAGAAAGTATTGTAGGTAAAAAGGAAGGAGCCATGCTTGGAAGTTGAAACTCTTTCCCAGGCACTTGATGGAGTGTATGCTGTGTTAGTTGATCTTTGAGAGACAACCCAAATTAATTATATATTTTGTGGTCCAAAACTCTTGCTTTTTTGGCATACTTATTACTAGCAGATTATGAGGAAGGTCAATGGCCTAGGCTCAAGCTGCCAAGAGAGTGCAAACTGATCTTACTTAATTTTTGGCATACTTATTACTTATTACTTTGAGAGACTCTCATGCTATGATTTATTTATTGTTTAAGTAGAAAACTAGAAATTACTGTATGTACTATGAGTCTATGACTTTATATTTGATTTATCTTACTTAATTAATGGGAAATGAATCAATACCATTTATATTGGATTGGACTAGTCCAATTTGGTCCAGGTTGGAAAGTCCAATAGTACAGTGGATTGGATATTTGGATTGAAGTTCTCTTAATCTTTTTTTTTTCCTGTGACATGCTCTCTCTGTTATGAGTTTGAGAATCTTGGTGATATTTCCAATTTTCTCACATGAAATTTCGTTTCAGTTTGAAAATGCATCAATTTATTTAGTGGGCCAAGCATTTACTTTTTACATGAAATTTGTATTGTAGTCTTGTTATGAGTGGTGGAGCTTACAAATATTGATTCTCATGTTAAAATTTCTATGCATATTATCTGAAATAAGGTGACAGAACTGCATGAGCTGAAGTAATATAATAGATATGCTTCTGTGTGCCGTGTCTTAAATGTTTAAAGTTTTAGTTTTCTGTATGCCAAATGGCTTCTGTATGCAAAATATTAGTTACTTTGCTATTGGCCCAAACAACTAGCACCACTGGCATGCCTGAGAGGCTGAGAGTGGGTTTATGGGACCAATCAAAAGGTTTTTGACTCCAAACACTGGATGGTGGGGGAGTTAATGTGCTACATCTTTGTCTCCTGTATCATTAAAATGTTTTGTCTTCTATTTCTCATACATGGTAGTTGTTCACAATTTAATGTCTTTTCGAGCATAGCTTGATAACATTTATATTGGATCTCATGAGAAAAATTATGATCAATATCCACCCCTTCTTCCCCTGTGATTGGTATTCATGCTTCTAGCCTTGTTGTGTAGCCCCAAGTCGAACAGTCATTTTTTGTTCTTTCTGTCTTTAACCTTGCTATGGTGCAAATTCCATTTCATTGCCTTCCAAAGTTTTGTACTGAATAACCATTAGGAATTCTGTTCTTAATATTGCCTTATAGACAACTCTACAAACAGTGAATTGTTTCTACCCTTTTCTGATGTGTCTAATTGAAGGAAAGTTAGTGAATCAACACCTTTTTTATTTTTCTGCTTTCTGGAGTAGCTAGATGCTGCAATTTTATCATATCTAAGGGGTTGGAAAATCACAGCCAAAAGGTGAAAACTTCTTACCTACCTCACTACCTGGGCCAAGTAAGAGAAAGCAAAAGACCATTTATCAGAACCGGATCAGAAGTCAAGTAAAATCAATCAGAAAGCTCACTAGATCACACTCTTGTTTTAACTTTGAAAGCTACATTAATTTGTTCTGTAATGCATGTTTGTAACCTAACAAATCTGCTATTCTTAGGTATTTGCTCAACCTCTATTCAGGTTTGTGGAAAACCGGTGCATCACCCACTGGCTGACAAATGGATCCATAACATCGGAACATGCCATAAGAATTCCTTTATATGGAAAATACTACATCAATTTCTTTCGGGTGGTTTGGAGAATGGTTTATGTGGTTTCAGAATTTTTATTCTCTGGTTGCAGCTGTTCATCCATCCTCTTGATGGTACTTGATCAAATGGCTAAGCTGGTGAAGTCCACCAAGTGTTGCACCAGGAATATGGTCTTGCTAATATGAACAATTTCTTTAGGAAATGATATTTTCTTGGTGTTTGATTGCAGATGGAGATGGAAACCATTTTGTTTATTTTCTGAGGAATTAGGGAAATAATTAATTCCTTATTGAGTATTATTTTCGGAGGAAAACATTTTGTTTCCCTTCATCATTTTAGTTATAACCAAAACTAGAATAGTGTAACTCATTGTTTGCTGATTCAGAAAGGAGAATTTTCTTAGTGAAGTAATTCACAATCATCTTCTACTCGTTGAAATTGATTCTGAATCAGCATATGTATCTATTTAAGTGTTTTTTAATTACCACTAGTTACTATCAAATTCTAGTTTTTATCTTTTTGAATGATAGTGTGTAGTGTTCACCAAAACTACATTCACATAACCATACATCAATTATTCATATGCATGTATCATGCATTCTTATGATTCAAAACTTACCAAATGTACGACCCTTGGTAAAGTAGAATAGAAAAATAGGATTCATGTGGTGGATGGCATTTATCTGGGATAATGCTTAGTTTTAATTGTTTAAACATTTTCATTATATTATGATTTACAGTTTTTCATTTAGTGTTTTTAAATTCCATTCTACACCTGGAGTCAATAAATTGACCAGTCATTCTCTAGAGCAGATTATTGGCCCTTGCTTCATGCTTGCCATTGACAACATTTTGGATCTTTTTTGTTCATTCCTATAAGAAGCTTGCTTTCCATTAAAGAGTTCTCCTCATCATATCATTCATTAACAAATTTCATTTTACTTGTTTTTGGATCTATAATGTGGCTTTGGCCCCCATTGGGGATATTGCTAGACCTGTAACTAGCACGTTAGTGTTAGCAGGAACTCAGGTGGGGATATTGCAGGGTGCACATCAGGTCCACTGGCCATACCATGGAGAGCCTGCAATTCTGCAGGGTCAATCCCATGCTTCCATTTGGGGAGTGATGCCCAGTGACCACCTCAAAAGGAATTGTTTTTCAATCTTTAATATGCTAGAAGACCTTTCATTCAATCTTTAATATGCCCAGTGACCACCTCAAAATGTTGGGAAAGGATAAGAAAATGAGGGCATTTGAGTGAAGTTGTAATGTCAGGAGAAGAAAATTCGTGTTTCATTTAATTTATAAAGTTTCATTTAATTTGGATTGGATTGGGTCCAATCTGGTCCATTTGCATTTCAATTGGACTGGATTAGATCTGGTTTGTATGGGATTTGGATTGGAATCGGTCCAGTCCATTTGTAAATGGACCAATGTTGGACTGGATCGGATTGGACCAAATCCAGTCCAATTGACAATCCTAATGAGGCATGCTTAGTGATAGGGCTGCAAGTTGGGCCGGGTTGAGGCCAACCCTAACCTTAACCCAACCCGAACTACCCAACCCTAACCCTAACTAAATTCCTTCAACCCTAACCTTAATCCAACCCAATCCAAAGTCAACTTTGGGTTGGGTTGGGCTCGGATTGGGCCCAACCCAACCTTCTTCCCATCCCTTATAATCTTGTAGAACTTCTTAATCTCATATCTTAAATCAACTTTTAGTACATATATTAATCCTATGTTTTATAAGTATTTGCTTAATGATGTTTTTATTGGCTCTTCAAGTACAAAATTCAGAAAAAAGGTGTTTGAAATGACTATAATTTATTATGAGTTGTGACTTATAATAGATCTTTGAGTAAATCTCTCAAACTACTCCTGATCATGAAATTGATAAATTGTACCCTTATTGTTTACATATTGTCTTAAACTACCCTTACTGTTTCTAAAAATTGACATGTCGTTAAGTGCTAACAGAAAGAAACAAAATGTTGAATTTGCCCTCCATTATTCCTCAAATAAAACCTAACTGAAACAAACAAAGTGATGTCTTGGAGATGGATCAAATTGGTCTCCAACTGAACTGCAAACCCCAAAACTAAAAATTCTACCATTTTGTGTCCTCGTTGATTGGTTTCAAAACTAGATGGGTAATCTGAAAGGCCAATGATGATGAGGGCTGCACTTGTTGTCAGTATCGCCCATCATAGACACCGTTCTTTGGCATAGAGAGGGGAGGAAACTAATATCCGACAAAACCTTCTCTTCCTACAATTGGCTATTAATGGTTTCTGGAGAGAACGCAACGGCGATGATGTGCTCTCTGAAATAGGGGAGGCGAGATCGATGGGCTTACTATTGACAACACTATAGAGCTTTGCCTTCTCCGTGGCCTCACCCATTGTTCCAATAGATAAAACTGCAGAATTCCCCTTGCCAGTGGACTCTGAGCTCAAAGCCAAGGCCTTGCATTGGTGGTAGTGTCATATTTCTCTTTCTTTCTCCATTCTCTGACCTCCCCCACCCCATATTTTCATGTTTCTTCTTTTTCCATCTATTCAGGGTCCCTTCTTCAAGTGTATACCTCTGGCATCGCCTCTTCTACTAAGGGAGTGATCCACTGCCACCGCAAGTTTTTCATAATCACCCTTGATGATGTTCTGTCTACTTGTAGACCTTACCAATGTTCCACTCCAACAGCTAAAGCTACCCGTGGGGCATGGAAGCTATGGGTGGGACCAACATTTGTCTCCGCTAAAGCAACCCAGCCATATTTTAACAACAGGGCACCACCTCCTGTAGTGGTGTTGTTCTAGACCAAGTCAATTAGGTTTATAGTGAGTCATGGGTATAGATTAACAGAGATTTCAAGACTTGTATAATGTGCTTGGAAGTCGTAGTGGAATCTCTTCCCTACAACTGAGTGAGCAACGTTAAAGGTTAGACAAGGAGTGAAGACTATTGGGATGGTGGAGATGAACATGATAGATCCTGAGTTAGGCATTGGTGTGAACGAGATGGGTCATCCCTCTCTCTCTCTCTATCTATCTCTCCTGACCGAAACAAAATATGGACTATACAACTAGTTGTAAGCAATAAAGGCGTTTGATCACCGACAAGAACCCCACCATTAGAGTACTTTGTAAGACTTGGTTTTCATCAGAATTTAAGCCTCCAATCACGGGAACTTCAAGCATGACAACAAAAACAGACCACTATGCATTTCTTGGTGTTTTAGTGTGCTTTCCGTGTTGTCTCAGAAAGTGAGGTTCATCTTCAATTTTTGACCGTAAAGGATTCAATCTGGGTGGAACCACTGCAATGAACACAGAGGTGAACAAAGACGACATGTTCTGGGTGCCAAGGTACTTAACATGAGCACATGTCGTCGAAAACTTGGGTGTCTCTAGTGTATCCAATCCTTATGCCAGTTCTTTTTTTCTTTCGAGAAATCTGGCGAGAAACGATTGGAATGGTTGTTATTACAGTTGAGGAAGAAGAAGAATAAGAATAAGAAAGGAGAGAGAGAGAGAGAGAGAGAGAGAGAGAGAGAGAGAGAGTGGGGGCTCAGGGCGAGGGTAATATTGGGTTTTGAAAAAATTTTATAGGTCACATGGGGTCACATGTGCATAAATCGTGACAGAGCATTAACACATGCTAATGGTAGGGATAGAGTTGGAAACAGTAGGGATAACGTTAGACAATATGTAAATAGTAAGGGTATAGTTTGTTAATTTTGTGATCGGTAGGGGTTGTTTAAGAGATTTATCTTTTATGAGCATCAAGCTATGGGTGGTAAAACAACAAAGAGGAGATAAAGAATAAAATATTCAAAAACATAAAATATGTTATTAAGGTTTTAATATTTCTAATTAGGATTAAGTGAAGTGGTTATCTTAAAAGAAATAAATGATAGTATGCGGTGAGGGCTATACAATTATCGTGCATATAAACAGATCAATATATCATATATATAATATATATATGATATGTACTATAGAGTCGGGTTCGAGTTGGATCGGATTACCTGAGGGGTTAGCCCTAACTCAACCTAAAATAAATTTGGATTCATAAATTTCAACCCTAACCCTAATTCAAGCATCAATCCGACTTTTTCGAGTTGGATTCGGGCCTATACCCGGTCCAAGTTGCAGCCTTACTCAATGAGGAGCAGATCCAATTGCAAGAGGTGTGGGTTCATGGCGTGTAAATTATCATGTTTCCACAGTCCTTTGAACAACCATGGCATTCGGTTAATAAATCGATTTGGTCGAATTGGGATGACCCTGGTCGGATCAGATGGAGCCTATTTATAAATATATTATTTATATTATATTTTTATAAATTTATTATATTATTTATTCTTTTATAAAAAACATGTATATATAGGTTAGCTAGCGCATCACACTAGAACTCATACTCCAAGCCACGGACAGCACGATGGAGAGTCGGGACAATAACTATTTCCGAAATCCGAAATAACCCAAATACGAAACCGGATTTGGTCTCATCAATTTGTGTTCACACCGTTTTCAGTCTTTTTAAGCCGTGTATTGGGAGACCTCTATGAATAAAAAGATACAAGTTGAAGATGTTCTTACTGTATGGCTGAAAAGGGCTATGAGAACGGCGTCTCTACAAATTTATGAGCATCAAATCTGCTTTCCCCAAATACCTTCTCTAAATCCATGGCAGGTGCCAAGTGGCTACTTTTCAGTAAGGGTATTTCAGTAATATCAAGTACAAGGTAATGTTCTTCCCTGATTCGCTTTAACGGCCAACCGTACATGATATGATCTTAATTGTGGGCATTACATTTCCTCGACACTTTACAAACTGCGCTTCCCTCTCCCCCCTTCGTCTCTCTCTCTCTCTCGTGAGTCGTGAAATGGCTTCGTCTTCCCCAACTTCACTCACCGGCTCGGATCATTCGGATGCAGACCACGTTTCACTCGAAATATCTCATCTCCCGGACGGGGAATCAGAAAGGCAGAATGAGCCTGTGATCACGTTAAACTCCGAAGAGTGCTTGGATGATCAGAAGCTCACCAGGATCCCGTCATTGAAGCCATCGCCCAGCGTTCACATCACCATGGACAGCCACCTGTCACCGGGAAACCGGACTAATGCCTCGCAGGTGAATGCGGAGAATACTTGCTTAGTGGATGAAGCGTGGGAGAATCTGACGAAATCGGTTGTTTTTTACAAGGGAAAGCCGATTGGAACTCTCGCCGCTCTAGACCCTAGCGCCGACGCGTTGAACTATAACCAGGTATATACTACCACACCTCTCTCTCTCTCTCTCATGTCATTGAATTCAAAGTTGCATAGTTTATTGTGACGTCTTATTGATCACTTGTTGATCTCGGGTTAGTATCGGTTCAGCACGAGGTCACTTCTGCTGTATTCATGTGTGGATTAGTTTCTCTATTGGATATTTTTTGTCTCTGCCTGTATTCGTCTAAATAGTTAAAGATCTGCTTCGTTTGTTAATAAATCTGTAAAGATGAGATTAAAGATCTGCTTCGCGCCATTGTCTCTGCTTGTAAATAGTTAAAGATCTGCTTCGCGCCATTGTCGTTTTTGCTTTGAAGGCGCTATCGTCCTACTTTTTAATAACATTCATTACTAGAAACAACAAAACAAACAGCCAAAGAAACACAGAAACTAAACACCAACAAAACAAAGCAACAAAAGGAAAACCATAAAAACCACCATTACTGAGGATGAAGACCCCCTGCTAATAGATTTATAGCGAGTCTTATACCAAGTACCAACCCGATGTAAATCATGCTTACAAAAAAAAAATGTAAATCATTAAATCAATGACAATTGCATTGTTTTTGTTTTTTTCGTAAATCAGTTGTATGGATTTCAAAACTAATTTCTTTGTTGTTTGCATCAAGGCTTTCTAAAATTTTATTAAATTCAGTTTGGAGAGTCTGGATCACCTGCCAATAAAATACGTTTCAACACACTTTCAACATCATCTGACACTACACATCTGATCAGGGCGGATCCCACTTTTATGGTCGTCTCAGTCTCATGGTGAGATGTGTGGTGTTGGACCATATTAGAAAGGTGTTGGAACATGCTTTCATGTTTTGTTGGTAGGTGATCCCAAGTTTAGAAGAGCACAAATACAACTGTGTAAATATATATAAGATAATACAAAATACAAGATTTTGCACTCTACATTTTTTTTGATTGTGCACTCTACATATTTCTATTTATACTCCTCTCAAAATACAAAACTGTGAGCATGACTACTGTCTAATAAGTAGCGAAATTGCTTGAAAATGAAACATATAGGTGGATAAACACTAAGCCGGGCCGAATTCACACAACCCAGCCTTGCTTAGGTGGATTTGGGCTGGGCCTAAAAACTCTAGGTTTAGCCATGTCTAATGCGGTTTAAATACAAGATTAAGATCCAATTACATTCTGCTTTTGCCTTGTTGGTGACTCCAGATCTCCTACCCAGAAAAATTCTAACTACCCCTACCCACAAAGACATTACCTTAGTGCATTAGAAATATCTCCCCATGCATAATAATATGTAAGAGGATGAGATGTTCCTTATATGTAATTGTTATGAATAGGTGTAGACAGAATTGTTGTCGTGGGTAGAAAATTCAGACTAGATTACAGTTCGATCGCTTGATGAAAAACTGGGAATTGATATTTGGAGCTAATCTTTGCAAGCTTATAAAACCCACCACTCACAAGTCACAGCCCGTGGCCTTCTATGAGCGAACAAGAGATGAAAATGGTAAAAAAAATTAGAATTTCTTCTTCAAATTGGCCAGGTTCGGAGGTTTTTTTTTTGTATCGATAAGTTTCACCAGGAATTTTCAATTCAACAGCTTTAGCTTTAGTTCAACCTCCTCTCTGTTAGGGTTGCAAATGGTATCCATTTAAATCCAGCAGTACTTATATCTAAGTATTTACTAGTAAAATGAAGATATATTTATTAGTAAAGTAGCGGGGCATCTGTAATTCTGACCAGTTTTAGAATGATTTATGAGTGGTGTGCAATATCTGAAACCGGTTCGATTTGAACCCAAATATTATCCACGCATATCCAATTTGAACCTGATCAGTTTGCAGGTCCAGACTGTGCTCCAGAGAGGACCCCTTAGGCTGTGTTTGGCTGTAATGTAAATAAATTGCACTGGTGCAAAATTATGACAGTACAAATGGTTCAAGTGTAAATTCTGATTTATTTTTGTTTTAAATTTTAGCTTATTTTGTTTGATTGCAGAGTAAATGAAATAAATTAAGATATGGAGCAGAATAAAATAAAATCCAAAACAAAATTAAAAATGAGAATTTACATTTTTTTATTTGTACTTTCATGCATTTATACTAGTGCAAATAAAATTACACTGCAACTAAACACAGCCTTAGTTTTATAATGTAATGCTTCTAAGTTCTAAGGTACAAAAGCTAATGAAGTACAACAATCTATTTACAACTGGCCATTTTATTTTTCGGCAGGTGTTCGTGAGAGATTTTGTGCCTAGTGGATTAGCCTACCTAATGAAACCGCAGCCAGAGCCAGAGATCGTGAAGAACTTCTTGTTGAAAACCCTCTACCTCCAAGGTTGGGAAAAGAGGATCGACAACTTCACTCTTGGTGAAGGTGTTATGCCTGCTAGTTTCAAGATCCAGTATGACTCACACCGTGGGAAAGACACTTTGGAAGCGGATTTTGGGGGGAGTGCGATTGGGAGAGTGGCACCTGTTGATTCAGGGTTCTGGTGGATTATTCTTCTCATGTCGTATACCAAGTGCACAAGGGATCGTACGCTGTCTGAGATGGCCGAGATGCAAAGGGGGATGAGGTTAATACTGAACCTTTGCCTTGCTGATGGTTTCCACACCTTTCCAACTCTACTATGCGCGGATGGCTGTAGCATGATAGACAGAAGGATGGTAAGCTTTCTTCTCTTCACTCCCATAGTCCCCTATCCCCTCCACCTCCCTCTTTTAATTATTTATATTTTATATCTAATATTTTTTATCAAATGGGCTAGGTATCGTTTTGTGTAATATCCATAGGCCGACAGAGCTCACCTTTGCCCTTAATCGCCCAATTTAGTTTTGCCCTTAATCGCCCAGATATTTGAAGCCCAATTTAGTGCCAGTTTCGGAGGGCTTTTGGATGCGGCTTCTGGTGTTTTGAGCTGGCCTCGTACAGAAATGCCAGAAGCTATTTTTGACAAAAATCTGGAAAATCAATCACTGTGCTCCGGATACAAAAAAACACAATTGAAATAGAAAGTTACTTCAGGTAGTTCCTCTGGAACATGGGTGCTCAACCACCACAATTGAATCAACGCACCTTGCCTCCAATGCAGAAGCCCTAGCCTCCTAAATGGCTCAATGTTATGGCCTTATGAGTGTATCTTAAATCTGGGACACATGATAGGTATACAAGTCTGGGCCTCATAGGTTGCTACATGCCTTATTTCTTCAAGAAAACAGCAGATAGATAATACATGGGTCCCAAGTCTCAACTATGGTTACAACAGTAGCAAAATCAGTCTTTACATCACTGATTGGTTCAGCTGATGTATGTAATACCCATCTGATGGTGCATTTCAATGCCCCGACACTGTTCTGTGTATCCCAGACCCATAAGTCTCATGTCCCCAGACTCAAGTTTTAGTCAAATCCTCTCTTCCCGGACCCATATGGGGACACAGGATCCATTTATGACTGCAGGGGATAAATAAAGTTGTGACCTATCCCATGTTCCGATGATCGATAATAGAGGTGCCAATGGACTTGTTTTTGGATTGGACCCTTCCAAATCAAAATCAATTTGGATGGATTGGACGAACTAATAAGACATTGAATTTGACCAGTTTGGACTTAATGGTCCAAAGTATTTACTAGATTGGATTGTACTTGGTTCATTCATTATAAATTTATATTGAATTGAGTTGGATTAAGCCAATATCTGATCCATTGATAAAAATTAAAATTTAGGTGTCAATGGACTAGATTTGGATTAGAATTAATTTAGTTAAAATCAATTTAAACAGATTGAACGGTCTAAACATTAAATTAGACAGATCCAAAATGGGCCAAAATATTCATTAAATTGGATTGAACCTGATCCATTTGTAATGGACTCACATTAGATTGAATCGAATTAGACCAAATCCAGTCTAATTGACACCCTAATCGATAGTAAAGATCTATCATTAGGAACAGTCCGACCCATTAAAATTATTCCATGTCACTAAGTCCTATCTAGTGTAACGATTGACTAATGCCTTAATTAATCCTTCCGTTAGATACTATTTTAAAGAAATACCTATTTTTATGCATTAATTAAATATTTCTAAAAATAAAAATATAATAATTTTGGGTGGTCCGTAACTCTTTTTCTGATGCATGAATTTGCTTTACTAGGCTTAGAGAATTAATTTGCATATAATTAAAGAGAGAATGGGAAATTTGCATATAATTAAAATAGATATTTTTATTTTTATTTCTTTTCTAAGCCTAGTAAAGCAAATTCATGCATGGAAAAAGAGTTACAGATAGGGGTGAGCAAAAAAAACTGAAAAACCGAACTGATCGAAAAAATCGATCGAAACCGAACAAAAAATCGGTTAATCGAATCGGTTGGTTCGGTGTTTTTAAAAAACTAAAGGTACCGGTTTGGTTTCGGTTAGCCAATTTAAAAAACCGGCAGTTAACTGAACCGACCGGTATACATGTTTTTCTATATATTTATGTATACTATATATATATTATAAATTAATAAATATGCATTATATATTTATAATATATAATATATTATTTATTTTTTAAAATATAATATTTTATATATATTTATAATATTTATATATACTTTTAATAAATATTATAAAGTCAAAAAACCGATGAACCGAATCGATCAACTGGTTAGCCATCTAGTTTCGGTTCAATTCCAATTACCGATTTTCCAGAAGCTGATACTACTGATCGGTTCACAAAAAAAGCCCACGGTTCGGATAAACCATGAGCACTCCTAGTTACAGACCACCCAAAATTATTATATTTTTATTTTTAAAAATATTTAATTAATGCATAAAAATAGGTATTTCTTTAAAATAATAACTAACGGAGGAATTAATTAAGACATTAGTCAATCGTTACATTGCTGGAATAATTTTAATGGATTAGTAGAGAGGGGAATAGAGGGAAGTTAGTAGGAAATCCGGACTGCATTAGGAATGTTCTGCTTAGAAGGATTATAACAAAAAAAAAAAAGAAAGTTATGTCTCTGCATGTAAATCGATGATATGAAATAACTCCTTTGAAGTATATAAATAAATGTGCATATAATGATGATTACCATATTTCTAATTGGGATGATTTAAGGGTGTTTGTCATTGTACCTGGGGTTGATAAACATAAAAAGCATGTTTTGAATATGTGAGAGGCACTTTGTGCAAAAAATGTCAAAGATAGTACACCCTCCGGCCCTCCCAGCACTCCCGGTAGCTGGAACCAATATTGAAGATTTGAAGAGAGTGCTTTTTCATATGCATGATTTTGTATTTTAAAACAAAAGCATTGTCAAACCATCAAAAACAATTTGACTCTTCTGATGTGATCATTGTTTTTTTATATTATTCTGAAAAGCAAATTTACAACACTCCCTCAATAGTTGAGTCTTGGAGCTTACTAATAGGAGGAGGAGAAAGAAAGAAAGGAAGTTTTTATTCTTCGTATAGTTGGCAAGCTCCAGAACCACGAATCTCCCATTTGGTCTGGTATCTTGGACACCAAAATATTGTTAGATGTTTTTTTTCCTTTTTTTTTTAAACCCAAGATTTTGGTCTAAATACAGTGGGAGACAGGTTGCTAGTCAGGGTGACTTAATAAGTCCATGCTCACTCAGGACTCGGGAGGTGTTCGCCAAACGCCAATATAAATGATTTTATTTTTGAAAACAAAAACAACTTACCATATCATACAAAAATAATATAAGTTTGCTGATGTGTTAGTTATTTTTTGGATAAAATATGAAAACCTCCCTCTGTACGATCGTAATAACCTTTCCTAAGATTTTATTTTAACAAAAATCCTCTCCTATAGTTTTACAAAAACTTGCAATTACCTTCTTTTATCTTTGTCTCAATCAAGGTTCAAAAAATCGATATATATCCGCCGATATATATTCTATCAGGAGTTTCTAGATATACCCCTACAGAGGGTGTATTGGGGTTTTAAATGGTTCAGGGGGTGGATGGACCTTAAACCGGCCCCTCTGAATCGGATTTGAAAAAAAAAATTATAAAAAAAACAACTGATATGCCTCTACTTGCGTATCGAACATATTGATATTTTGAATCTTGGTCTCAATAATGAATACTTCAAAGTTACAAAATCATCCCTACAATTTATTAGGACATCTTTCAATATAATTCAAAATGCTAGATTTGCCCTTTTAGACTTCACTAGACCTAAAGTTTTGGTGAAGTAAAATTACTTTATTCTTTTCATCTAACTTGGGGAATTTTTTAATGAAAAGTAAAAAGAATTTTTTGGAGGTATTTTAATAAATTTCATATGAATTGATTGATATAAGGGTAAAATGATTATTATAAACTTAATGCATTTGGCCAACATTTTTCGTCCAAGACACACGAGGGAGGTGATTGTAGGTTTTTAATACTATGGAGGAGGTTTTTGTAAAAATGAAAACTTAGGGGAATTTTTGTATTTTACCCTATTATTTTTAATGAACAAATGTGCCCTCAGTTTGGATTTCCAAGAAGTTCCCTTTGTTATTATTCTACTGACACCCTTAGATCATGGAAAAGATTTTGTCTTGAAAGACCTAGCTAGGATGACAATTTTTTCTATTTCCCTAATCCTTGTGGGAAAATCGATCATAGAAAACAAAAATTCTACCATTTCATTTCTAACTAATGACTAATGATGGCAAAATCGATCGTAGTTGAAGTTTGTAATTCCAAAATAAACAAATGCTGTGTTGAAGATTTTTTTTTCCCAGACAGTTTACTGTTGGAATTCGGAACGTGAAACAGGGCATTTATGGGTACTCAATAGAGATCCAGGCCCTATTCTTCTTTGCACTTAGGTGCGCAAGGCAGATGCTAAAGCCCGAGAGTGGCGGCAAGGAATTGATAGAGAGGATCGACAAGCGGGTCACAGCCCTGAGCTACCACATCCGCACCTACTTCTGGCTTGACTTCACCCAACTAAACAACATCTACCGTTACCGCACCGAGGAGTACTCCCACACTGCTGTCAACAAATTCAACGTCATCCCCGACTCCATTCCTGACTGGGTGTTCGATTTTATGCCTTTACGAGGTGGGTATTTCGTTGGTAATGTCAGCCCAGCTCGCATGGACTTCCGATGGTTCTTGGTCGGCAATTGCATTGCGATCTTGAGCTCTTTGGCCACACCGCAGCAGGCCACAGCCATTATGGATCTGCTTGAGGAGCGGTGGGAGGACTTGATAGGAGAGATGCCCTTGAAGATCGTGTATCCAGCGCTGGAGGGTCACCAGTGGAGGATCGTCACCGGCTGTGATCCGAAGAACACACGATGGAGTTACCATAACGGCGGGTCTTGGCCAGGTAAGTCATGAATGTACTATGTAATTCTACAGCCTCTCCTATGTCGTTGAAACTTGTTTCATTGTAGATGATTGGTATAGAACTGGAGGGTCTAAAACAAAGGACCGCATCAGGAAATATCAATGCCGCTAGTGATCTCAACCATCCATCTGGATTTGTAGGCTAAAGGGGAGGGGTAACCCATCCCCATCCCCTAAACCCTCCAAACCTGCTGGCAGTGGGATCTAATCCCGTATCTCTACAATGGGTGGCTAGAGAACCTATCAATTCAACCACCAAATGTTACCTGACAGCTCAACGATGCCAAGTTATTTTTCAATATATCATTATTTTTATTTATATCGATCAATACACGGCGGAAAATGTGTTGGGGGGCGTTGTGGGGCGGCCTCTCGTGGGGAGGAGTTGGGGAGGAGATGTAAACTCCTCCCCACGGGAGCTGGTGGAGCAACGCATTTCCAAGGACGGGTGGCCAGACATCTCCTCCCCATAAGGACCCGCCCCACAGTACATCTCGGCCATGTATTGAGAATATTTCCTGATGATAGTGATGACAAGAAATGTTTTCAATACAGGGCGAAAATGTGTTGTGGGGCGTTGTGGGGCAGCCTCTCCTCGGATATGTGAACTCTCAATAGGAGACCTTACCAATTACCTTATAAAGCTAATATTTTTAAGGGTAAATTTCAAAGACCCCCTTTATTATGGGGTCTGTGACAAAGACCTCCGTACTTTGTTTTGCGACAAAACCCCCCCTATACTATGACTGTAAGATAAAACCCCCTTTCATTAGTTTTTCTTGAAATCTATCGTTACAATATTTTTTAATCCCCATATTACTCTTATAGACAATTGAGAGAAAAACATTGTTCATCTTCTCCAACTCATAGTACACAAACAGCATCAACAATAATCCACATTTCTCTCTCTCCCTTTCTCCCCCGATCTCTCTTCTTCCTTCTATAGGGAGTGCTCCAAAACCCAAATGCAGCAGATTCTACAGAGTCTTGTTCTCTCCTTTTCCCCAAATTTTAACAGTTATTCCTTCAAATCCCTCCCCCAGAGGTTTCTTACTATGCGAATCGAGATCCTTCATGATGATTTTACAACTTCAATCTCCAAACAATGGCCTGGTGGATATAGTCACATGAGATACGCATAAAGAGCATACGCATTGGGCTCATTCAAGCTACTCCAGAACTTCACCAGATCCCTGAAGCTCCTAAAACAGATTTTCGCAAAATACACAAAATCTTCCCTACTGTAACAATAAGCACCAACAAAATCAAAATCCCATTTTCTATTTCCATTCAAACTCTATCTCTTCATAACAAGATTTGTGACAGTGAGAAACAAACACACTTCCCCATAAATTTGTGTTTTATATTTCATAAAATCTAAACGAGATTCAGATAGGAGAAACCAAATGTTCAAGGCTTACTGTAGGGGCTCAGCCATCCCCCATATCTGTCCTCTAGTTCTTGTGGCAGGTCGTGATGATACAAGGTCACAAACGGTTCGATCCTTGCAAACACGTACAAGCCTTTGTTACAGACGATAAGAGGAAATGGGGTCACTGTAACTTTGGAGGAGAAGCTCTGAGGCGCGTCTGAAGACACTATCTTTAGAACGTTATTTGCCCCCACTCAGTTTCACTGAGTTTGTTGTTGGGTTACAAGTAAATCCATTCCCGGGATACAACAGAGCCTTGGGCGAGAATCTACAACCAACAAAGTTGAAGAATTTCCGAAGAAACATTCTGTGAGACTGCGCGTGTGTATGGCACAATGAGGCGCTTTAGAGGTGCACTTTGCTTGCACCCGCGTGGCTCGCGAAGGGCAGCTTTGGTTTTGATGCGATGATCACCATTGATCATCGTTGATGAGATCAACGGTCACGATTCAATCTGGTGTGATCACGAGATACAATTCAAAGTTAACAATCATTAACTGTTAACTACTTTTTAAGTAGTCACAATGTTTGAAACTGTGATTGTTCAAGTTGCATTCTTTGAAGTGGCACCTACCTTTTCTTCATAGCTCTTCATAAACTATTTAAGGAGCATGAATCGGACTTCAAAAATACACAATTTCAAAATCCACTTTCTCTCTCTCTCTCTCTCTTAGTCCGGTCTGTTGCGCGTTGCACGGTATCAAACCCCTATACTCTCCTTTACTATTTCTAAGGAGTGTAAATTAGCTTTTATTAAAATACTGAAAACAAAGCTTATAATTTTCTAATGTGGGACAAGTTCAAAATTGGGTTTTGTAAGAGAAAAGCTAATTTTTCAGTCAACTGTGCAGGTACAATTTCTCATATAATTGACCAATCAAACCCATCGGATTTAATCTCTCATGAGATTAAAATCCAACAGTTGCCTCTGTAGATGTTGTGTCTATCACCCAAGTGAACGAAATCAAAATTAATTTCCAAAATTCCAAACAAAGATGGAGAGAGAGAGAGAGGGAGAGAGGCCGGTGGTGGATTCGCCACCGCTGAGTTTGAATTCGCCGTTGCAATCAGTTGCAGCGGTGAAAGTCGATGACGGGTTTGAAGGCGGAGGCGACAATGGAAGTGGAGGAGGAGGGGTTGCTCTTCTGGTTGCTATAGGGGAGGAGAGAAAGGGAGATCGACAACCTCTCAGAATAAGCCATGTCTATGTCCAGGCCCTCTTCGAAGACTTGACAATTCCGCGCGAGACGAAGTGATTCACTCCTGTAAACATGTCAAGGACAAAATCGGATATGATGCTGAGGAAAAATACAGAGATGCGATGAACAAAGTGAGGGGAAAATATTGCTGAGGTAGAGAACAATTGCGGCAATAATCCTTGATCTCTCTTTCTCTCTCCTTATCGCCATTGTTGTTCGTGTATTCGAGGTTAGGGAAGATGAATAGTATTTTTCTTATTACAAGGGTAATATGGAGATTAAAAAAATACTGTAATAACAAATTTCAACGGAAAGTTAATGGAAGAGGGTTTTTATCTCACGGTCATAATATAGGGGGACTTTGCCACAAAACAAAACTAGAGGGGGTCTTTCTAATTTACCCTATTTTTAATAAGGCACAAGGTTTGACATAATATTTTGTCTTTTTGACTGAGCTTTAGATATTCAAAAATCACTGGAATCGTTTTTTTTTTTTTTGAGAAAAAAAAATTGGTACTTTTAGGTGAGGTGGCAGATAATATTTTGCGAAGTTTTTGCTCCTACGGTCATATGACAAGGTTAGGCCTAAAACTTTGGCTCCTCTTATAAAAGACTAAACAGTTGTCACGGTAAATGTAATTTTATCCTTGTTTTTCAAAAATTTGGTACTTATTGGATGGTTTTTTATGGGAGAATGACGGTTCAGCCTAAGGTCAAAATTTTTAGGCCCAAAGTACAGTTGGGGTAGGTGCTAGTTCGGAATTGATGTTAATTTACAGGCGGACATTGGTGTATAAAGTGGGAGTATTTGACACTTTGAATGTTTATTGGTCTGCAGTGGAATTCAAAAATCTGCAGTGGGTCTACTTTTCTGTTTTTCATTGAGATTAGGGCCCTAATATCAATAAAAATAAACCTTTTAATATAATTTTTAAAATAGGTTAACTTTTTAAAAAATACATCAAAGAATGGCAAAAACACTGTTCATTTTCTTCCTCCTCCAAACCACTTCCGCCCCCTCCAAACCATTGTTAAACTCTCTCGGGTTCATCAAAGAAGCTGAGAGGATGCACATGGTGGCTCTAGCCAAGCTCAACCTTCTCGTCGGAGCCCATGGCACTGGTACTACTTTGGTCATTGCCCAACTGTTTTGGCCCTTCATTCTCAAGCACCCTTTCAGTAGATACGTGGGCATAGGCTATACTGATTTGGTCGCCACTTTCACCTTCTTGTTCTGACTATGGCCAATAGTTTTTGGAGAAGATCATGATACAAGCAATGGTCGGAGATGGGAGCAAGCTCTTCGATTGTTCTACCAGAGGGCGACTACGACACGCACTGTCCAACTTGATGAAGAAAGCCTCCATGTTTTTGCTCTAGAGTTTTGGCATCTCTAGTTGTTTCTCTCTCCCAATCTCCGATCTCCTTCACCGTCGATATTTACTTGTATGGTCTTTGGTCTCCTTCTTAATGCTCTCACTGATATTTGCAAAGCAAAAGTAGTGTTTGTTTGTTTGTTTCTATATTTGCTTGCCATTGGCATTGAAGAATATCATCATATTATCGAGAGCATTGTAAAAATGTTAGACGAGTTGAAGTTATCGTGGGACTGGGGCGGAGGTCGATTTGGAGATTTTCATCTTCTTGGTCATCGAAGCAGACGGAGGTGGGCGGAAGTAGGCGAGGCAGAGGCGAAGGTGGGCAGTAGATTTACATTGCCAAAGGTGGGCGGAGGCGGCGATGGATTAGTGTTACCGGAGGTGTTCATCTTCTTATTTCTCTCTCTTTCTCTTTCTCTCTCTCTCTCTCCCACACAACACTAAAGGCGGAAGTGGTTTGGTGGAAGAAGAAAATGAAATGTTTTTTCCCTTCTTTATATCTTTTTTAAAAAGTTAATCTATTTAAGAAATTATATTAAAAGATTTATTTTTATTGATATTAAGGCCCAAAATTACCTTATTATCCCTTTTTCATTTTACAACATTTTACACATTAGGCTGGGTACCCCACCACCTATTCCTAAAACCCCCACTTACCGTGGCCATAATGGGAATATATCCCAGGTATAGCTGCTGTACCGATACCCTAGTGAATTTTGATGATTTTCATTGGTTAGTGTCGATACCCCCCAGTGAATTTTGATGATTTTCATTGGTTAGTGTACTCTTAGTACAAGGCCGCAAGAGTAAGAGATCCAATTTGCCGCAAAACGCCTCAGTACAAGGTCCTAAGTGTAGATTCGAACTGCAGCAAAACAAAACGAGTTTGAATCAGGTAGATATTTTGAATTGGTAGTTAGGAAATTTTGTGACACCTGTGGCCTGTCATTAAGAGTTGTGAATTTTGTCCCAGCATGCCACTACAGCGGGATGTTAGGAACATCTCCATTGTTCCTTCGTGGTGAGATGTTCTTAATTTACGGCTGTAGTGCCTTGTTGGTGACACTTGTGACGCTATGATGGGACTTGATCCGGACTATTTTGATTTACATATACTCATATTATTCTTGAAATCATTTAAACAAAATTTGAATACAGCTGTCAAAAATATTTACAGAATAATTACTGTGTGTTCACAATTACCTTTTAATCCGATTTCGGATATCTCCGGATCTGCTACCGATTACTTCGTTCCCACATTTATACCCACAGAACACTGCCACCGTGTATTGGGAACATTTTCCTACGAATGAAAAGAGTCTTATGTCCTGTGGGTAGGGATGTGAGAACTAGTTGGTACTTGATAGCAGATTTTTTTTTTCTTGGGGGAAGGGGGATATTGGCCAGAGAAAAAAGAAGGTCGGGGGAAGAAAAGCCAAAAATGTTTCTCTCGAACATAATAGTGAAGCTATTAACTAGCCGCCCGCCGGCTCCCCTTATTGGTTTAGAATGGGGGTTGAGAATAAAGAACTGTTGATATATATATATATATAATATGATGTATTGATGCATTGTAGTGGGGTGCAGTTCTGTTATGGCTACTGACGGCGGCGTGTATCAAGTGCGGTAGGCCACAGATAGCCAAGAGAGCCATAGAGCTGGTGGAGCAACGCATTTCCAAGGACGGGTGGCCAGAGTACTACGACGGTAAGACTGGGCGGTACATTGGAAAACAAGCTAGAAAATACCAGACGTGGAGCATCGCCGGCTATCTGGTAGCAAAGATGATGATAGAAAACCCTTCAAATCTCCTTATGATCTCTCTCGAGGATGACAAGAAAATTGCCAAACCTAGGCTTACCCGGTCTCTTTCCTGGACATGTTGATCTCTGCGTGTCACGACCCTGCACTGCACAGAAATGAAACGTGATTGATGCTTGAAAGAGAATATATATAAAAAGAACACAACAGGTTGAAGGCTTGTTGGGGTTACATTCTAACCATACGCCAGTTGGCAGTAGCACACAGGTTGAGGGCTTGAATATTGATTGGGGAAGTTCACCTTCACCGATATGCTCCTCTACTTCTCAGAAATTTCTCCTTTATTCTATCGTACTGCTCCTGGCTCCATACAAGCAGAGCTCCCCAACATACTGAAACTCTTCTATAAAGATTTTACTATGACTTCATTTCTTTTACTACGAAATATTTGTTTTAGTTTGACCGGTAGATAACACACAGAGAGAGGGAGAGAGAGAGAGAGAGAGAGAGCTTATCTGGTGCTTCATCCATAGAGAAAATCAGGCTAAGCATGTTTTTGAAAGAGGTAGAAGGATAAATTACCTCCAGTTTAACGTTGCTTGCTCAGATGAGTATCGCAGTACCAGGTCTAGCAGATAGCTAGAAATATAATGCGAAAAGTGGCATTATAAGCATCGGAGAGAAGTGGCAGTTGGAATACTCATTTGAGCAAGAAACATTAAAAGGAGGGGAAGCAAATTAACACCTTAATCCGATTCTGCAGTCTGAACCCCCTTCTCAAGCAGTTGCACCTCCCCTTCTCAGCAGCCGTGATTCTCTCTAGCTAGTCTCTGCTGAGATCAATGCTCACCCTAAATATGAAGATAAAAGATATATATAGGGAGAGAAAACAAAGCGGACCCCCATATAATGGACTATTGTTACCAAAATACCCCCATCCGAAGGCCCGAGGTTAACAACCGGTGCGGTGAACGGTGGACCCAAGAAAGACGGTTCAGCGTGTTCGATCTACAACGAGAATAGTTGCTGCATTGTGATCGTGACTGTCTACCTTTTCCGGTCAATTACTAATATGACCTTCATTTTTTAAACTTATTTTGATTTACAAAAAGAATTCATTTTCATTAAGAAATAGCATAATGCCACTGATTACAGAATACTGTCTCAGCTGTTTCCGTCCTTCGATGAGCCCGATTAGAAATTTTGAATAGGTTGTGCATCCCAAGTCACCATACATTCACTTATTTGTTTAACAGGGTACGTTGGTCAACAACTCCAAATCCAATTTGAATCAGGTGGGTGCTTGACTGGATGGCCGTGACTCAGATAGACCCCTTTTGTAGTATCACTCTAATTCTATTTCTCGATCTCTTCTATCAAAAAGAAAAAAAAAAAAAACTGTTCTTCTCTAATATAATTTTTCGTTTACCAGAAAAAAAAAATAAAGTCCAATTTTCAATTAGAGGGCTCATTCCGGTTCAATTGTATCTTCTCCCTGACGTCCTAACGGGAGATTTCTATGCTTCAGCGACGTCGAGATATTTTTATCGTCCAGGTCCAGCCAATCTAAACCATTGATCTCATGGGTTCTCCACTGAGGTGGATTCAAGCCGAGTCAAACTGAATACTTGGTTATTTGAGTTACGTTCATTGAAATTGAGTTAGGTTCGAGTTCGATTCGAGTTACAAACTTGAGCTCGAGCTCGGCTCGGCTCATAGATCGCAAGTTCGAGTTCAACTCGGCTCGAGCTCGACTGCAAGTCAACTTTTTTCTAAAAAAAAATAAAAAAATATACATATAAAAATATTTTTTATTTTACATACAAAAAATTAAGAATTATACAAATTATTTATTATATATATAATAAAAAATATAAATATAAAAATATATTTATTTTACATACAAAAAATAAGGATTATAAAAATTATTTATTATACATAAAAAATAAAAATTATTTATTATATATATGTATGTATGTATGTATGCATGCATTCATGCATGTATATAATAAAAAATACTTATTTATTATATTAGGCTCGCGAGCTTCATTGGGCTCGAGCTCGGCTCGAAGCTTGGTTTAAACTGAGCCAAGCCGAGCTCGAATAGCTCATGAAAAGCTCGACTCGTGGCCACCCCTATGCTCTAGTGATGGGCTTTTGATTTTTTCTATGCGTTTTTTTTTCTTTTTGTCCTTTTTTAGGATTGTAATCTTTTAATTATAGTTAGTAATTAAACGTGAAGTATGAATATATGAATATTTTGACATATTTTATATGTAAATGTGCAAATATATATACAAGACGGTTCACGTCACCATGACTCAACCCCCTTCCTAATTTTCTATATTTTTGAATTTTTTATTTTTTTTAATTCCATATAATTACCCATAAGGTTCAAAATATCGATACGCATGATACATTGGTAGAGGCGTATTGGTAGTTTTTTAGTTCTTTTTTTCAAATCTGGTTCAAAGGGGCCGGTTTAAGGTATGTCCACCCCCTAAACCAGTCAAAACCCCAATACACCCTCTGTAGGGGCGTATCGACCAATATAGGTTGATACGTATCAATACTTTGAGCCTTGATTACCCATTAAACCAATAAGGAAATAACATAGTCTTAACTATTTCTAACAACCATAAAGAAAAAGGGATTTGCTTTTCTAATGTTTAGCCAAGTGGCACCACCTTCCCAACTTCCTACTAAATTGTCTCTAATTCCTATTTATCTCTTACATTATCTCACTCCTATTTATCTCTTAAATTATGTCTAACTCCTATTTATCTCTTAAATTATCTCTAATTTAGTAAAGAGATTCTCTCTTAAACTATCTCTAATTCCTATTTATCCTCTCCCCTACATTTTATCTACACCTATCTAAAGAAAGTCTCAATTAAAAAATTTCAAAATTATTTAAATATTAAAATGAAATTATATACTAACTTTAAAATATTTATTCAAAACACAAAAGTTCATTATAATAGATTTAACAATATTCATATTATTAATAGTTCTATAATTTTACAAAATTCATCATGAAATTATGTAGTAACAATATAAATTATAATTTTATGAATTATTAAATTTAAATTTTATTCAAATAATAAATATCTAAAATTAAAAAATTATTAAAATATATAAATAACTAAATATCTTAAATAACAAAACATTAAAAATAGCTCAATAATTATATAAGAAAGTATTTAATATTATGTAATAAATTTAAAATAAATAAAATTTTAAATATTTTACATATTATTTGAATAATTCAATAACGAAATATTTGACATGACTAAATTTTAAATAGTTAAAATAATGAAATTATGTAATAAATAAAAAAAACTTAAAAGTAGAAAAATAATTATAATATATTTCATAATATTCATATTAATAATAATTTAATATTTTACAAAATTAATAACAAATTATGTAATAATAGTACTAATTATAATTTTATGGATTATTAAATTCAGTAAATAATTAATATTTTAAAATTTTAAATAAAAATATTATTTAAATAACTAATTTCAGTTATATCAATTAATAATTAAAGAAAATAACTTTAAATAATTATGTTTTCAATAACTATTTATAAATCTATTTTTGTTTTGTTATTTAATAGAAAATTGTTAATAATTATTGGAGATCAAAGAACTATTATTAAATTTTGAAATTTAATTTATTGAATTTTTGTTATAAATTTATTTTTAGTAATTATATATTTTTTTATAATTTATTGATTAATATTTAATATAGGTTAAATCATTATTTGAGATTGATCTATTTATTAACCAATTTAATATATTTTCAATATTTATTGTATTTTTATTAGATATCTATTGTATTTTCATTATAAATTTATTTTTAATAATTGTTTATTTTTGCTATAAATTTTCAATAAATATTAGAGATCAAACTATTGTTATTTATTAGAGATTAAACTATTAATTTAGTTAAAACTAGAAGGGTTCAAGGATTGGTTCAGTTTGGTTGCAGGTTGTTTCGCCAACCAAATCAACCTAGTTAGGTCAGGAGTTTGTCACTTGAAACCGACTGACCATTAGTAAAAACCCGCTAACTCGGGTTGTATCATTTGGGTCTATTTTTGGTTTGGTTTGTTTGTACATAAGATTTAAACTTAAAAATTAAATTTAAATTTAATAAATTGCAGTTGTATTATTAATAAGTAAATTAAAAAATAAATTTATGATATAAAATATTTTAGACTAAGAAATATGAGATTTTCCCCACTTTTTCATATTAAAATATTATATTTAGTTTTGGTAGGTTTACAAATGGCCAAACCGAAACTAACCTTACTTGGTTGGGTTGGAAAATTGCTGAGCCAAAACTAATCGGAAATACTAGAAAATCGACCAACTTGGGTCGAATTCAATCGGATTGGTCATTAAAAAGTTAAAATATAAAACAATCATATAATCTTATGTGTTATATTGTTTAGCTTTGGTTTAATAAAGACTGTGCATCGCACGGGTCCCCGCTAGTATAATATAACACATTACATATAAGTATAAATCATATTTTATCTAATTATGTTTGTTTTAGAAGCAAAAAAGTATAAAAATATAAATATATTTTAAACTTTAAAGTTAATAACTAAAATTTCCTGAATTTATTATTCCAGGTTTTTTAAAGTAATATTAATATTATTTATGTATTATATATATATTTCCTGAATTATTCACATGTTTTATGTTTTCGAAATACAATGTTATAAAGCACATAAAATTGCTAATTATGTTCCTAACACTTCTTGGACAATTTGTTTTCAGTAATGAAAAAGGACATATATAGACCACGGCACCACGCTATTATCATCCACAGGAGTTAACTAACAGAAACCTGACCACATGAAATGGAAGTGGAAGAATGACATTGCAATGGAACGGGAAGGTAGAGAGAGAGAGACTGTAGAACTGTATGATCAAATAATAAATGGGTAAAAATATCGAAGGTTATATAATAAAGAAATTGGGCCCTCCTGATCAGGTAGGTAATATAAAAAGCTTGTTCATTAATATTCATATAATTCAAGGCTCGACATGGTAAATAGTAATCGAATATGGTAGAATAGAAACCTACCATCTTCAGAGCCATCAAAATAAACTTTGGATGGTCTAAGACACCTGGGTACGTAGACAAAGCAATAGGTTGTATTTAGAGCAAAAAGCAAGTTACATTGGCATTATGTCAATCAACATTCCCATGACTATAGACAAGCGAATCAAGGAGCAGATTTGTTGGTGTAAATTGTTGGTTTGCTCTTACTCCGAATGGTCCCTCGGATCTTATTTACAATTTTCAAACTTGTTTCAAGGATGATTATGACAGCCACGATAGTATTTCCACAATCCAACTAAAAAGATCAATTTTCTCACCAACTCTTTGAAGATTGAATTCCATCTAGGGTGGTCAAAGAATCGGATCTGGGTTGGGATAGGGTAGAACTGAAATTGATCCAATAAGAAATATTAAGGTCCCAGAACCGAATCAGACCCTACAAGGTTTGATATTTTAGACCCAGAACTGAAATGATTAGTTCTAGGGTCTGAGTTGGTTCGATCCTAGAATCAATTAGGGTTTAAAATATATAGATCCTGGAATCAGAACC